CATTTGTGTGGTAAACGATCCATGACTGGTGCTTGAAGCCCTTATATAGAAATTAAAGGATTTGGAGTCTGACCATGGTTTTTCCTAAGAGCGGGATTCGAACCTTGGTCCAAGGAGTCATAACGGCGACAAATAGCACTGCGCCACGCGCATTCTTCTGATGATGTTATGTTGTGTGTATCTTTAGAACGTTCGCCTAGTATATTTAATTCCGTCAGCAGCGTGGCGCAGTGGAAGCACGCTGGGCCCATAACCCAGAGTTAGGTGGATCGAAACCACTCGTTGCTAATTCTTTTGCACCTGTGTAGTAAACGATCCATGACTGGTGCTTGAGCCCTTATATAGAAATTAAAGGATTTGGAGTCTGACCAGGGTTTTTTCTAAGAGCGGGATTCGAGCCTTGGTCCAAAGAGTCATAACGGCGTCAAATAGCACTGCATGTTATGTTGTATGTATGTTTAGAACGTTCGCCTAGTATATTTAATTCCTTCAGCAGCGTGGCGCAGTGGAAGCGTGCTGGGCCCATAACCCAGAGGTCGGTGGATCGAAACCACTCGCTGCTAATTCTTTTGCACTTGTGTAGTAAACGATCCATGACTGGTGCTTGAGCCCTTATATAGAAATTAAAGGATTTGGAGTCTGACCAGGGTTTTTTCTAAGAGCGGGATTCGAGCCTTGGTCCAAAGAGTCATAACGGCGACAAATAGCACTGCGCCACGCGCATTCTTCTGTCATTTTTTAGATGATGTTATGTTGTGTGTATCTTTAGAACGTTCCCCTAGTATGTTCAATTCCGTCAGCAGCGGTGCGCAGTGGAAGCATGCTGGGCCCATAACCCAGAGGTCGGTGGATCGAAACCACTCGTTGCTAATTCTTTTGCACTTGTGTAGTAAACGATCCATGACTGGTGCTTGAGCCCTTATATAGAAATTAAAGGATTTGGAGTCTGACCAGGGTTTTTTCTAAGAGCGGGATTCGAGCCTTGGTCCAAAGAGTCATAACGGCGACAAATAGCACTGCATGTTATGTTGTATGTATGTTCAAAACGTTCGCCTAGTATGTTTAATTCCTTCAGCAGCGTGGCGCAGTGGAAGCGTGCTGGGCCCATAACCCAGAGGTCGGTGGATCGAAACCACTCGCTGCTAATTCTTTTGCACTTGTGTGGTAAACGATCCATGACTGGTGCTTGAAGCCCTTATATAGAAATTAAAGGATTTGGAGTCTGACCATGGTTTTTCCTAAGAGCGGGATTCGAATCTTGGTCCAAGGAGTCATAACGGCGACAAATAGCACTGCGCCACGCGCATTCTGTCATTTTCTAGATGATGTTATGTTGTGTGTATCTTTAGAACGTTCCCCTAGTATGTTCGATTCCGTCAGCAGCGGTGCGCAGTGGAAGCATGCTGGGCCCATAACCCAGAGGTCGGTGGATCGAAACCACTCGTTGCTAATTCTTTTGCACTTGTGTAGTAAACGATCCATGACTGGTGCTTGAGCTCTTATATAGAAATTAAAGGATTTGGAGTCTGACCATGGTTTTTCCTAAGAGCGGGATTCGAACCTTGGTCCAAGGAGTCATAACGGCGACAAATAGCACTGCGCCACGCGCATCCTTCTGTCATTTTCTAGATGATGTTATGTTGTGTGTATCTTTAGAACGTTCCCCTAGTATGTTCGATTCCGTCAGCAGCGGTGCGCAGTGGAAGCATGCTGGGCCCATAACCCAGAGGTCGGTGGATCGAAACCACTCGTTGCTAATTCTTTTGCACTTGTGTAGTAAACGATCCATGACTGGTGCTTGAGCTCTTATATAGAAATTAAAGGATTTGGAGTCTGAACATGGTTTTTTCTAAGAGCGGGATTCGAACCTTGGTCCAAAGAGTCATAACGGCGACAGATAGCACTGCGCCACGCGCATCCTTCTGTCACTTTCTAGATGATGTTGTGTTGTATGTATGTTTAGAACGTTCGCCTAGTATGTTTAATTCCGTCAGCAGTACTCGTGTTTTGCGATTTGCGCTCAGAAATTACAAGCTGTCGAACTTGCCTCTAACTGCAACTCTTTTCGCAGCTAGCGTCGCTTCTGTGGGGATCGCCACGCCTGGATGATGGGTCCAAAAGATGTGTAAGGCATTACTCCAGCAATGTTCGCAGTAGTCACAGATTTGGTCCACCCTATGCAGAACGACAAGACTTCAAAATCACTTATTCGATAAATGGTGCATTTTTAGGGGCCAAAAATGGTCGATTTTTCAAACTTTTTAGAAAAAATTTTGTGCAGGTGGTCCTGCAAAAACATGAATGGTCCCCATGAGCCCCAGCAGATTTCTATATAACTACAGCATCTGGGGTCTTCAGCTGTTATCCTGTCTATGATAGTCCTGCACAAATAGGCCACTTTTTGCGTCGACCTTTCTCCCTTCTGCGCATGCTAGTAGACCGCTATGAGGTGTTGAAAAGCCAGCACGACAAATGTATTTTGAGGACAAAATCGTCTTTGCAATGACGTTTGTAGCTTCAAAAAAGAATCAGTCTGCTCAAAGTTACAGATTTGAAAAAACTTTTTGCAAGTGCCCGGGAACTTTCTTTACAACCTAATAGTCATTTTCAGACAATGAGCGTGAATTGTGAAGCCTACAAGTCGTGAATGTTCATACTTGTTGCGATGTTTGTTGCGAAAATTTCTCGAATTGCAATCTAGCGGATTTAGTGAGATTCAGTGACTTAGTGATTGAGATACTCTCGTCTGGTAGGAGGTAGCACCTCAAAACCACACTTAGCAACTTTTAAATTAATAGTTGTGGATTGGTATTACTGCCAGAACTCTGCCCCGAACTGAAACTGATGAAATTATTGACAGTTTGGAATCCCGCTGATGTCATATTCCTCGTTACTGAACAGCGTGAGTGGACAGAGTACTGGCTCTAAATTTTGATACCATACTGACATCCTATCTGCCCAACCTGTCCAACCATAAAGCCTTGTTTTCTTGGTGTACAGAGTGAGTCCCGTACCGCACAGAAAAAGGTCGTGATCTTAGCAACAGATTGCTATATTTTTATACATGTTTTATCCTCTCTAGTAATAAGAAGCAGATAATCATAAATGGAGGAAAATTTTCGTCTGCTAGCTCATGACTGTCTTCAATGCATAAGTCTCTCCTCACTGCCTGCTCTCATTACTGTTTGACCCATAACTGCAACAGAAGCATTTGTCTGGGGTCTACATCTGACACAAAATCACAGGAGCAAAGTGATCGATTTGTTTGGCGAACTACCCCGCCATATGGAGCCATAACGAAATCTACGCACAGAAATAACCTCTGAAAAACACTTCCCGTTTGGTATACTTAGAACAGTAGCGCAAAGTTCTCTCATGCTTACTGAAACGAGTATAGGGTGCACGCTCGCTTTTGAGCCGCGACGCGTATTGAGCCGACCGTGAAGGGCCGCGGGCCGGTCATCCGACTAAAGCACGCGAGACCGCATTACGGACATTGTCTTAACAAGTTTGAGTTTGTTCTTCCCTGCCAAAGAGTGGATTAACCTGGAAGAGATGACTGACAAGTATAAACCTGCTAAGTATACGATTAGGCTTGTTTCGAAAATGTGTGCAATGCGGTCTCGCGTCTCCTAGTCGTAGAATGAATGATATGTCGGCGTGTATTCATTCTCCTCAGTCTTTACTTGGCAAACTGCCGGCTCACTATGCTCGGAATGGGTAGGGCAACGAAAGCCGCCAGTTTGGACCACCTCCACGGGCTACTGGTCCTAGAACGACATGCAACAACACTGCAAAAGGACAGTTGGTTGCCAGAGGTATCTCAAAGTGGAGGCCTTCGTTCCCCTACCCGCTCGGAACCTCCAATGATGAGGACCTGCTCCACTTCAAATGTTCGCCTACTCTTGGTTGAACATAGTGTATGTCTATCATATAGGCTGCTGCATGACAAGGCTCATATCTTGGGGTGCGAACGCGGTTTCATTAGCCGCAGAGCGCATGAGGCACATGATTTACAATGGTGGAGATGCCGCGCGCAGCGTTCGCGCCCGCTCGACTACTACCGCTTCTGCGCCTTCGTCATGGCAGCCTTTATGTTACTTAACCGAATATGCTGAAATGCGATCAAACGTCTGGTGCGTTCACAACATTGAAGGGTCAAGAAACTGGAGACTCTGATGTTTTTATTCTTGGGAATAAGTGATGATGCTTCCCCTACTTTCCCATTACCTTGCCTTGTTGAGAGAATCGGGAGGCGATGAAATCGCTTGATGTATACCCCGCTCTAAAGACGTTTGACTCAGCTAGCGACGAATCCTCTGGATACGGTGCACTCCGCAATCTTCAAATCTCAAAATAGAGCATATTAATACGGTATGAAGTTGACGCGAATCAGTTTGAGTTTTTACTCAACGGACTCCGTAGTCAAAATGATAACTATAGCTCGTTCATTGCTGTAAGAGGAATGGGCGCGGGAAGAATGTCGCTGCACATCTACCGAGGTTGGGTACTTCCGATTGCTCTCCACAAATCCAGTCATAATTGCGACTTATTGCACACTTACACTAGACAAGTAGCAAAAGGTCAGCTGTTTTGTCTGATAGTTCGTGTAAAAACAGTCTTATAGCATCGCTCAAACTCTCAAATGCACTGTGAAAGGAAGCAAATGAACAAGTTCAATCTAAAATGTCCACAGAATCATGAGATCAAGTCACAAAGAAGTACCATTTGATTCAATTGGCATCGGCGAAGGCGGAGCTTGATCGAACTAATTAAGGCTAGCTAATGTCAGAGAGCACTCGCGCGAGAGAGACGCAGGTGCGTCGCGGGCGCGAGCAGCCTAAATTAGATCACAAAACCCCGCCCTAATAATGCCAAGCCATTTGAATCAAATGTTATCGGCTGCTGCATGACGAAGGCGCAATATCTTCGGGCGCGAACGCGGCTTTATTGGCCGCAGAGCGCATGAGGTGCGGGATTTACAACGGTGAGGATAAGCCGTCGCGTTCGCGCCCGCTCAACTAATATCGTCATTGCGCCTTCGTCATGCAGCAGCCTTTGGTCAACAGTTATAGCCCCAAGAAGAAAGCTCATTTATAACAGACAACGGAAAATTGCAAACACTACCTATGTGACACTAAAACAATTAGACCAAGGTTTCAGACGTGATAAAGCTTCAACAATCACCCTGAGAGGTTACATGTTTTTTTGATGCTAAAAATCTTCACAGAGACTAGATGATATTGCAAACGAAAATGCAAAATAACAAAGTTATTAGGAAGACGAAAAAAGTGTGCCCCGCTTGCAAGCTCAGCGGAGTTAAGTAAAGTAGGAGAAAATTTTGATTAAAAGCATATAATATAATAGTTGTAGCACCGTAGACTGTGATTAGATACTCAGTTCATTTCGAGCATAACCTCATCAGCATAGTCATCTTGTTCAGAGGGTTCATCTTTTTTCAGGAGAACTGGAGTGGCTAAGCGTATGGCCAGAGCTCCAATAGGTGCAGTAATGAGGATGCTCAATATAGCCATGGTCAAAATTAGAATACCGTTCTCTATTTGAGATGAAGTTGATGACGCTCTAGATCTAGCTGTTTCCAAAACAACGGGGGCCAGCGCTGCCTAAACAGGCAATGCAGATAAATTTATAATACGATCAGGTGATTCGAGCAAATTTAGGTACCTGCACTGTCGCTTTTGGCATCCACGCGATAGCGACAAAAAGACGTTCTTTCATTGTGAGGGTTGAACCGAACACCGCGAAAAATGAAGCAGTAAATCGAAAAACGAGACCGAATGCTAACACTAGGACTCCAAGTAACATGGTATTCAAGCTAATCTAAACATGGTCTAAAAGCCAACAAACGGGAAACGTTGATCATACCATTCCGAAACTAAGCTCCAGGCCAATAAGGCCAAAGAGAAGCGGTTGAAAAACATGATGCCATATAAGAGCAAGATAATCTTCCTCTGGAAGCTCACCCTGCAAGTCAGTACAATAATCTATTCATTTATAAGGAAAAAGTTTCAGAAAATATTTGTAGGTGTTTCGCTACTGAGACAAGATAGCATCTAACCTCTTTCTTCCAAGCATGACCAGCAACAAACGCAGCAATCAAGACTCCAATAGCACCCGCTCCATCAAGTCGAATTCTTGCTGTTCCAAACAAAAATGCCAGGGAAAAAGAGAACAAAAGAGAAAGACGAACAAAGTGAAGATTGTCCACTGTTTTTCGAGGCACTATGTGAAAAAAGAACCCTGTAACGGCGTTTAATCGAAATTCATGAGGAATGAAGTAGTATTACTCACCAACCATAGCTTCGCAAAAAACCCCAGCAAAAACATCCGCAGGTGCACTTAAAATAGTCAAAAGTGGTGAGTCCCCTGAAAGAGCTTTATAAGCTGTAGTACGAGCAAATTTGCGACTCCTAACTTGCCTCTATGACATTGAGGTCTTAACTGATCATATAGGAAAACAAACCTGTCGGGAAAATGAGCGATAGTATTAGACTAAAAACAGTGATAGCATATACGTCATCCAGACTAGCAGCAGCAATCACTACAGATGGTACACCAGCTCGAACTCCGTAGCCTAGATATTTTCATAAGAACAGGAGCCTATACACTTTCATAAGAACAGGAGAAGTTCAGAATATGACATACCCGCTTTGCCGGCATCCAAAAGAGCAGGGATAACTACGGCAGGTGACACAGCTCCCAAAACAGCGCTGCAATCAGAGTAAAGATTTTTTTGTGATAGATGAAACACAGGACTTCGATGGAACTGGTATAACAATGAAGTTTGGCGATATCGAATATAAAAGCTAAATTTCACGTAATTTCACGACAGAACTAGTCGTCGAGAAAACTGAAGATGGGGCATTCCAAAGATTTTACAGTAAATTGAGTTCTAGCAGCGTGTGAGCAGAACCGCTCCACTTCAATGATGGACTCACCCTAAAGCTACACCGAAGAGTATGTCCATCCCAAAAACCATCTTTGTGATCAATGCAACTGCGCAGATTTCAGCTGTACATGGCAATACAGTTAATCGCAAACATGCACCCTAAACAAGCTGCTTTCGACTAGTGTTGGATTCGTCACACTGCTGTGAACAGTGCTACTCCACTTTGTGAAATCCAGAGCTTTTCAACTCAGATTTCTGGTTCAGCATATAGGTCATCCTACATGAACCTATTTTCCCTTAGAATGATAATTTTTTTGTTGGGAACCTAGTTAAAATATGGGTCAGACGCACCAACTGCTGAAACATTAACATAACGACACATCAAATACACCCCTATGCAAAATTTCAACCTGTCCAGAAGTTGCCCCCCTCCTCGCTATCTCGTTTCATTTATACCTAACCCAAAAGTTTATGTCAAGGTAGATTGATTCGAACTGTGACGAGGAAGTAAAACTAGCAAGCAAATTTGAAAAAAAAATCATCTTAAAATTCTGGGTTACATAAGGAAACTGCAATACATGACAAAATTACCTTGAGCCTGCGAACGGCGTTAGCATCAAGTGATAAACCGCCACGAAGAAGAATCACTATGAAAGCGATCCGACGTAAAACCATGCTCCATTCGTTTATTACGTACACGTTAATGAAGGACTCACAGAAGTTCCTGAGAATGATGCCTGTGAGCAGCATGGCTAAATAGATCCAAATAAAGAAGCAAAGGAAGGGGATCAAAAAGCGTACCTAGTAAGCTCGGAAGATATATCAGTTGTGCTACACAACCCGTCACAACACCGATAGCGATGATAAGCCCTAACGTATAAATAGTGCTTGCATAATCCTGTGGTGTAAGTATAGAAGTTTCCTCGAAGGAGGCGTTATAATTTCGTTCATGGATAGGTGCTAAGACGACATGGCATGCTGTAACGGCGAATCCAAGGAAAATGAGGTATGACAGACACGAGGAGATCTGGAAAATATGCTTTCCAATGATTTGGAATCATGAATGGACTTGAGGTCCTGTTAACTATGAATTCTAAGAAAAAACCATTTAATTCTTCGGCCCCGGCCAGACTTCGCTCAAAAGCGCTCAGCGCCCAAAAGCACCCTTCTCTAACCTCACTTCAATTTCTCGCTTGAGGCTAGACAGAGAAAGCGAGGAGAGGTCAGAAAACTTTAAGCGCTTTTGAGCGAAGTCTGGCCCGGGCCTTCGGAAAATTTATTTGATTTATGTCCGTCGGACATTCACCTTAAACAAACATATACACGAGTCAGAACAAAATTCTTTGTCGATTTGTCCCATACATGATTCTAACCAAGCCCTGGATATCACTGATAAATTTGCCAGGACATTAAGTAACTAACGATAAGGTACAAAGAATTTGTTGCACAAAATAGATACAGTCAAAAGAAATCCCAAAGACTAAAACAAGTACGGCCTAGCTTCAACAAAACGACAACTACTCACTGCATGTTGTTTATGATTCTGTCAAGATTATGTGGATAATAAACCTGCCCTGTTGCTAATGCTGCGGTAGACAACGAAACGCTATTTTAATATATACCACTTGCAGTTCAACCTCTACAAGCCTGGTGGATGAACAGTAGCTCGTACCTCTGTTGTATAAATGCGATCCCATGAAGACTGCGGTGTAGGGGAACTCTTCTCAGTTTTGGGAGAAAGAGCTTCATCCTCGGTGCTCATAGCACAGACAATCGATGTGCCTGAAAAGTATATAGGTTTGTGGGAGGGTAGTGTTTGCGAATGCAGAAACAGAGTCCGAGGGCTGAAAGAAAACATCGAAGAAAAACCTTTGTATTATCGTCTCGGAACCTGACTGGAATGCCGAGCAGCGTAGAACCGGAGATAATCGAAGTGGCCGATGGCAGGAAGCACCGAGCAGCCGCGTCGAGTTCGCCATGAAGCATGTTAGCTGAAGACCAACACTGAGCATGAGCGTGCTGGACTATGGAGAAAGCAGCTCTATTAGAAAACACTAAAAAAATCTGATACCAAAGATCAATCCTTATTCAGCTCATTTGATTACGCCTTATGAAGTGCTTACAATGAAAAGACAGAAAAGAACACAAAAACGGCACTATTACGTCCGATGAGTGCAAAGCCTATGATTTGTCCCGCACAAACTCCATAGCTAGAACGTCAGTCAGTGCCTTTCGTTCTCTTTAACATGTTAACTTTAGCAAATCCGAGGCATTTTCTCAAAATGAACATGTCAAAACGTCGAAAAGCAGCGAGTTGACGTCCTGTCTGCGAAACTCGAGAGGATACAGCCGAGTAGATTTTCCGATTAATATGGTGTGCTTGCACTGAAGGTGAAATGCGGTAAAATTTGCGCGTGAACAAGTAGCCACGCTAGTAATGCCAACATTTTGCGCGCGCAAATTGCCGGCGTCACAGGCCTAGCTATTTCTTAACGCGCAAATTTTACCGCATTTTACCTTCTGTGCAAGCACACCGTATTAAGCGGAAAATCTACTTGACTGTAGGTTACTGAGAGCCATAATTTGCCTCAGAAAGACAACCAAAGTAAATAAAAACTATTGTGCTGGACTAATCAAAGCCGCTGATTCTGGTCAAAATCTCGCTGTAATGCTTCTTTCATATAGTCCAGGTTGTCAGGTAACGAGTTAATTACTCTCGTTACTTGATCTCTTTACCCTCAGTTTCTTTCCTTTGTACTAACATAACAATTTCTGACTAGATATTGACTTCTATTTCATAAATGTGGGGAACATAATTGGGGAGGGGACTAGCGAGCACCCGTGGAGTGCCAGCTCATCAAGTTTCATAGTGCTGAAATCCCCTACTGTAACCTCAAAATAACGAAGTAAGACCAGTGGTTCAATGTATACTGTACACCTAAGTTGAAGCCAGCTTTGAAGAATGGTGCCCAACGGTCGGCGAAAGACATCAAAGCAAGAGGGTTATCAATTATCAAACAGGGTGCACATTCTTGGGTGCAGTCAAGATGAGCGATATTTATTGCCAGGTATTTATTACACCAAACAGCACATTTTTAGGGTCTAATAGCGTTCTAGAAGCCTTTCAAATTTCGGAGGAGATATAGAAGATTGTTTGCATGGGCTGTTTAATCTTATTATCTTAACATACAGGGTGTCCCAAAAAGATGTGCCTAGTTTTGATCGTTATTAACTCTCTTGTAAAGTCTTTCGAGAAGCTTTAGGTATCGTCGATTCGTTGGCCGTACGGACTGCTCAAACGCTACGGACCAAGCGCGGCGCGGTTAAAATGTTGCGAGAGCACGATTTCAACAATGGCGAGTTTGTGCTGGAGCAAGCGTTTTACCTCGCGGCGCGTGCGGTTATGTCCAGTCCGTTCAGTCAACGAATAGACGATACCGTTTTGTAGAGCTGGCTTCAACTCAAAATTACACTATGGAGCGAATTAAGAATCTATCTTAATTACTGTAGGAGCACGGTAAGAACTTGCAGCATATGGCGCCACTGTGAAAGAAGCTATTTGGGAACATTTTTCAAAAAAAATCTGAAAAAGGTATATCTGGCATAACTTATGAAAAATGCCTTAAAGTGAAGTGCAAGTTCCAAGTTTAGAATCAGCGACTTTGATTAACCTAGATGGAGCTTTCATTTTATTGGTTCTTTAACACATTGATGTCCGCTTGAGACACATGGTGTGTCAAGCAATGACTACCACGTGGGACCGCTTGACACATCATGTGTGTCAAGGCTTGAGTTTTGTTAAAATGACTACTATCCTAGGAAAGACTCACTCCTTGAGCTTCCTTTTGCACTAAATTTAGGGATGACCTCTTCCTTTTTTGTCAGCCTTCCAGATTTACTGTGAGTGTACTGTAAATGGCAGTATCCGCAATTATAGTTGAAAAATGCGGCTGGTCCGTAACTGGCCTTGGTCCCAGAAGGCAGACAACCAAAAATCTACGTGGTCGTCAATGTGTTAACGGAGGTAAGATATGACCCTTATTTACTCGAAACCCTTCTCAAAGTTCCCGCTGTTTTGATTCCCACCATATTTTAAATCCTACAAGATGGCACCTAAAGCTTCTCGAACCAAAAGAGTAGGCACACCTTTCTTGACACCCTGTAGATTCAAAACATAGAGTTGGAGCTCCAAACCCATGAAAATGCAGCTAATGGCGCTTCCGTAAATATTTCGATAATTCCTCACTAAAAGCCTTCAAACTTAGCAAGCTATGATCACGGATAGCTAGTAAGCTAGAAAACTTTGTTTATATCGGAAAGACTTGCATAGCTCTAAACTAGGATGTTGAATCGGTGACCTTTAGAGAGCGCGCTTCTTGATCGTCTCCTCATGTTTTTAGGACTGTACGAAACAGTGGCGGACCGAGGGGGACGGCAGGGAGGGGCGCCCTCCCGAGAATGGCTCGCGAAATTTTTGAAATTTATAGCATGGGTTATAAATATGTGTAGGTGACTTGTCTATTTTTACATAATCAAAATAATTTTTGAAAAAGTTATAAATAATTTAAATAACTGTGCAAAAAATTTTTCCGGAGGCGTGGCTGCCGCCAGCAACCTTCTTCTAGATTAGGGGTCACAAGCCCCCAAAAATTTTTGTGAGTGCGTGGCTAACGGCACGCACCTTCATTTGAAAAACTTCTTTGCCGCTCTCCTCCCCCCCCCCCCCTGGAAGAAATTCCTGCGACCGGGGGGGGGGGGGGAAGGAGAGCGATATGAGAATATGTGAGAGTCTTCCCTAGTACTTAGCTGCTTTGCGGAGCGATCTGTTTCGCCTACTGTTTACTCATACCTACTGATTCTACATGTGTGAAACATCACAAAGGATCGTGACCTTCATCGCTCCGCGCCCTCTGCTTGGGGAAGTGCGCGCGCCGAGCGAAAAGAGGATCTGAACTGCACTTGAAGTGTGCGCAGCCTCGCAGTCTCTCCTCGATTCGGGTTTTTCGGTTATGATTCTGATTCTCTTCGTCGTATAAGCGCGTTAGAGTGCATGGTCATTGTTGGGTTGCGACCGCAAATGGAAGATTTGGGTCATTCGGACGCGTCCTCTATAGGCCATTCGCTGGACGGTCTCGCAGCACAACCAGCCCCTTCACTCCTCTCGCTACATACATGCTCACCGCAATCATTGTCCCCCGTGTTTTTTCGCTTTTTTCCCTCTACGGGCGCAATTCGTAGAAAGTTCCACGCGAATTACGGCCGCGCGGTCTATTCACTCGTCCTTGCATACCTAGCTCAAGCGAATGCTCGAGAAGTTAATGACCTATGACAAGCACTAATTCCTCTAGCATATGTTCTCAGCTCTAGAAAGTAGAGATCAGACCAAGAAAGATGAAGATTGTAAAGCTACTGAGGTAGAATTCGCTTTTGAAAGAAGGGGTTGTTTGCACGAAATGCTGTTTCAATATTTTTTTCAATGCTCATTGCCTGGAAATTCTTCCATCGCCGGAATCAATCACTTTGAGATTGTCATTTCCCTGCGAAAGAAATCTGATATCTGTGTACTTTCTTCAACGCTCAGATAGCAAGCGAAAAATAAATGCGAATTCATGTCAGATAACTAGTCTGACGCTTCAAGTGAATTTTCATGAGCTTTTTGTGAATTCTGATATTGAGAACTGAGGTTGAGAATTTTGAAAATTTGAGAGTTCTCAAGAAGTTTCAGAAGTGCGTACAAAAAACGAGAGCTGTTTATTTCATGGGATTGCCGAGAAGGAAAAATGAATTCCCATGCGACTGCCGAGAGGGAACATAAAGTATGTAAGCGAGAGTCCAAAAAAAATTGATTCGTGTGAGCTATAGCGCCTAAACTGGAAAGCATATCTTTAGAATAAGAGTGAGAACATTAGAATCAAGAAACAGACTCTTTGAGGTTTTTTATTGAATCATGAGATCTTTTCATCAAAAGAATGCTATTATGAGCGCTCCGGACGGATCGATAGGCGTTTTCTAGTCTAAAGAGCACGATCTGGGCGAAAATTTGCGCCTGATTTTTCGACCATGAGTAAATCATATAAGCTACGCCTTGGGCACTGATTTAGCCGTAGTCTTCTCAGAGCATCCATGAAGTTCGGCTACATTCCGCAAAAAAGGCCAAACAGCTCTAGGATTTGCTTGCTTAGACGAAGAGTTATCCAATGTAAAAGTGGCCAATGGCCTCTTGAAATACAGACAGCATCGGTAAATTTTTCTTAGATTTCTTCTCGCAGACATCTTACGGAATTGGGTTAGTGGGAAAATTTTCCGGACACAAGGTCAAGGAAAGTAGTGCACTAGGATCACAGCATTCATAGTCGCCTTTCGGCGACATTTGAAAGCAAATTAAGTCGACTTTGACAGATCGTATTTTGGAACACAAGCATCTTACTCAGGCATGCATGCGTCGTGTAGTTTGCTTCGTAGGTCTGACCATAACGAGTGAAACTGCGTACTCGCGCACTGCACTCAACTACTCACATCTCATATTCTCTATAGCTTTAAATTTCATTTTCCCTGTTTTTGGTCTTTGGTCCACCATTTCGCCCGAAGCAGGTAGTCCTGTGAGTATTCCTGAGAAAAGTGTTGAAATAGAGTCACAGTTGAGTGGTAGTCTGAAATAGTGTGGTTGTGAATGTGTACTGAATGAAAAGAAATTCGGAAAAGGTAGCAAAGTTGCCTGACACATAGCCTACTTCTTGCAACAAATTTTTCTCAATATGTTGGTGTGCAATCACACATTTGTCATCCAATTCTACTCGACTATGCATAACTATAGACACTGCATACACTTAACCATTCAGAGCTTATTAGGTGTCCTATATGTCTCATGCGCTAAATTTTCAAACTTTGCTTGTAGCGGTTTGTGTTCCTCGCAAATATGTGACTATATAGTTATTCACTCAAAAGTACAGCCGAATTTTGGGCCTTCTTAGGCTCCTTAGTTTTTGAAAAATTTCAATTTTGAGGTTCATAAATTCAAAAAAATATGAGACAGCTCAATATGATAGTAGTTATGGCTCTTGCTGCAGTCTTATTGCTTGTCTTGACAACACTCAGCGTAGCAATTCGCACATCTTGTGCGA